TACTTCACTGCTAGAACGTTCTCCACATTTTTTGCTGTCTACTGTTGCTACAACTAAATATTATTGAACAGTAAAGTTTAGTTAAAAACATTATCCTAGCTAACACAAAATTAAAACAGTTCCTCCAATTCACAAACAACCCATTTCTCGTACCACTGCCCTTAGCAGACTCCGTCTAATCTACTAGTAATTTTATTAGATGTGCAAAGATAGCTCAAAACTATCATTCTAATATTTTAAGTAAAACAGACCATCACACAGCATTTGTCCCTATGAATGAGTCAAACAGTTTCTATCCTACCACCTCCTTCCTTTTATTTGAGTATCTAGAACAACAACAGTGAAGGCAAAGTAGATTTCAGAAAAAGACACTGAAAGGAAAAAGCTACTTAAACACATTTTCTCGTTTCTTAAATTTAGTCTAAACTTCTCTTCTGGCAACTTGCTAGCATTTCTAGCTGACTTCTCTCTACACTTGTTTTCATTATACAGTGTACAGGTGAAAGAAAAAGTCACCATACAGCCACAATATTTGTTTCCACCAAAAGGAAACTCCCAGTTATTAGTCACAAAAAAGGGCCAGTGTTGTATAATTTTGTAAGACGTTACCCCTCAGAACCTGAGCTTGAAAAAACAAGTGGACAATGCTTCAAGAGCACATACAGGCACTATTTACTTTTCTCTATCAGCTCGTATCTCTTCTGGTTTTAGCTACCGTCCTTCCTCCGTGCTATTACACTCCCCTCTGTTACATTTCACCAACCAGGAAAAAGGGGAACTTAGTGACACATAACTGTTCGGAAAGCTGTTAGAAAGTACTAGGACAGGGCTTCTTAGCATTTTCTATCCAACTCTCACATAACCAACTAAATATACACATAGAATTCCGTCTTTTCTTCAGCATACTGCAAAAGCTGATGCCCTGACTTTTTTGGGAAAAGGTCATTCCCACATTTTTAAACATTACAAAACTATGTTTACAGGAATACCCGAGTTTCCCCTCCTAGGTATAACTGGGGCTGTTCACGCTTGGCTGTTGAAGCTCTTTTTTTGGCCAGTGTAGCCCAAAGCAGTGCCAATAACATCACAAATTCCCAAATGCTATGTAGCAAATAATGCATCCACGAAGGCATGACTGCTGCTTTTCTCCCATCAGGCAGAAATACACCTCAGCCATTCTGAAATGTGCAATGCACGTATACAAAATGAGTCACTCGATTGTTCAGGCCCCACTGACTGCACAGCTATGCATGCCATCCAGGAGAAAGATAAAACATTGGACTGACGTGGCACACACTGGAATACAGTAAAGGAGAACTACCACCTTCAGTATGCACCAAAGTTCACCTAAGTTATTCCCTGCATCTGTGTGGTGTATATGCTTTACATCACATTTTATACTCGTCTGAAGGTTCTTTTAATTACTCCACAGAAAAGATATATTATATACTTCATACATTCACTTGATCAGTTGAAAACCACTCTACCCCTCCAAGTGCCAAATTAGTTTACTTATCCAGATTAAAGCATCATAACTGTAAAGAGAACACAAGACAGCAATTCAAACTACAGTTATACGATTCTGATATTCAAACCTATAGAGCTAGTGAGTAATGAGAAGTTTGAGAACAGAAGCTAACTAGCAGACCATTTCACTTTTAGTGATCAAGGACCTCATGCAATAAAACCAGAGCAACTGAGATGTACCTTTTTTAAAAAAAAAACAAACATTTTATATAATAAGGCAAGTTTTAAAACTATGCACAAAGAAATCAACAAATTTAAAATGTATCCAATTTCTTCAAGAAACTGAAAACTTAAGAAATCAATGACCTATGCAATAAACTTATTGCTGGAATACTTAGTTCTGTTCAAAAACACTTTACACAAACTGCTTACACGCAATGGGACTTCACAAAGTAACATCAGACACAGAGCTAAAGCTCATGCTTTTTGTATTGTATTGTAAATTGTAACGTAAGGGGTGAACTGTGTGCAGTGACATTTACTTGCCTCCATGAGTTCTACGTAAGCAGAACAAGACATTACAGACAAAATCAAATACGAAATAATTCATATGTACTTACAAGATGACTGGGTTTTGATGTGTTCTAACACTTTCAGAAATTAAAGCATGCTGCTCCTCAGAGATTTAGCTGTCAAGTGCGCTCCCACTGCATATTTTGAGTTGCACAAACCCCCACATTTACTCTATGTAAACCAAGTTTTCAAACTGTATTTGTCATTTTTTCCACCTCCATTCAGTTTTACATTTTCCTAGGCTTTTGTTGTTGATTCCTGGTGGCTCAACACGTAAATAAAATCAAGGTTGAACATTTGGCAGTTTGATGAACAAAAATGTTTTAAATCAAATCAAAGCGTACAGCACAAATAAATGGTAATAGCTTCAAATGTAGCAGTCTCATTTGTCGGGTAACTCTGAGAATATAAAACTGTTAATAAAACATTATAGGCAAGTATTCCTTTTACTTTACACTTGCCTTGTCCACATGTAGTCCCCAAAGCTCAAAAGCCTTTTTTTAATTCAAAGACAATTCCAAGACTGCAGTAGTTAACTTCCACTATTACTCTTTTACGAATGGGTTTAAAAATGTAACGTGTTCACTTCTCTGTTCAAGAAACCAGCCATACAACAGTTAATATAATTTTAAAATTTGTATTGACATGACTGATGATGATAAAATAAAGCAAATTTTCCAAAGAGAAGGGTCATACATCACAATCCCTTTCTCCAAGTACAATTGAATATATCACAGACATGCTGTATAACATCATCATATACGCAGTAGGTACAAAACCTCAAGAAAGCATCAGATCAAACAAATATCCTGGATGAGTTGACTTCACACAGGTAAATCCCTGCCCACTTCCAACAGCTACAAAGCCACAATAAACACAGTGTCAAAAGAGCATTAAAACTGATGATGCAACTCCTTCGACTCCAAACTTGCTCCCTACACATTCCCAAAGCATCCCACATAAAACAGCCAAGTAAAGGCCAGATGCATGATCCCAGTTGTTTATATACCACATATAAGTAAAGCAAAGCATTCCTCAACCTTCAAACATCAGTTCATCAAGAGCAATGAACAGTCACCAGAGAACATAAAGGACAAAGGTTTCACATGGCCTTCCACAAAACATGGCTGAAGTTAGCTTTCAACTGCTACCCAAAATGCACATATCAGCTAGAGAGAAATTCCATTTTCCATTCTTATTTGTATCTTGTGATAATTACAGAAGTTCCAGAATACAATCCAGTTTACTCCTCCCATATTTCACAGCTTTCTTCAGAAAACCATCAACGTTTTTATTTATTCCCACTATTTCCATGTACAAATGGTTTCCTTTTAAAATCCAGAGAACAAGTCCATTTTTACAAGGCAAACAGCACACATTTTTGACACCTCTGTGCTTTTCCTCGTATTTATTTTAATCACTAACTCTCATACATCTGTCTTGCCTTCTTTCTTATATTTGTAATATAACTTCTACAATCAACAGAAAGAAGCAGTTATGTCATCTGGGGTGTCTTTATTTCATTGTCTGACTAGTATCTGAAAATATGGTTCCAAATTCACACTACATACTTACAACATATTTCATGAACACTCAAATTCTAAGATTCTAAGTCATTCATAGTTAAGAATGGAAGGAATACTGAACCCATTTACTTGTCCTGAAGTGAGAATGTCACAATTTAATCTTCAAGCAATACATGGTCTACCTGAAACTGCTTCTTCAATAAACAAGATTGAGGGCAAGTTACAAATTACTTTGCCCCAAAGCCATTCACGTGGGGAAGTTTACTTCTGAGACTTGAACTTCCCCAGGTATTCCTCCAAACTAATAAATACATTCCTAAAGTTTTAATCAGTTAACACTCCATCCTCCCAGGCAACAGAGAAACAATTGTGCCAGTTTGTAACTCTGGTTGGGATTAGCTTCCACAGAAGTCCTTTAATAAGCACACTTTCGTCTTCACTCAGAGAGTGATTTTAAGTTTGTCTCCCATACTGCACAAACATGTGGAACCAGATGGGTCCAGAATCTATGTAACTGACTTCTTACAGGTCCTCCTAGAAGCAAGCTTGCTCAGAAACATAATACAGTTACACCTGACAAGAGTAGCTGCTGTATCTACAGGCCAGCTGTATTCTATAAGAACTAGTCCAAATCCAGCAGGACCAATACTGAATCTTAGCCAAAGAGCTTTACTAGACAAAACCTGGCTTACCAAGCAGTTAACATAGATCAGTTTCAGGTGAAAAGGCAGCTACGTAGTATAGCTATAAAGTCCTTGGACAAATGTAGAGGCTTAACTATAGGCACTAGAAAACATCTACATCTCTACCACTGAAATAGAAACTACTGCACGCATTCATTAACATAACCTAAAGTTCCCTTGTCCCATATATCTTTGCATTCTCATTATTTCTCAGTCTGTTTCCACAAAGTACTGATCTAATTCCTGCAACAGATCTAAATACAAAAATGAAATAAACAGTAAACTAACAATCATTTGGAAGCTCTTTCCTTGTTATAACAAATATGATAAACTCATAACTGAACTTGAGAAATAAGTAGTAATGCAAAGCAAACGCCCACTTCTCTATCTACATAAAAAAAAAATCTACCTCCCATATTTTTGTGTCCTATTTCAGTCAGTCACTTCTTTAACTTCCAACAATAACAAAGTGTTGTTTTGGAAAAAGTCTGTAAAATTAAGCTTTAATATAAGAGGCTGACACCACTACATTAATCTAGAACCACTGTTTACAGCTGAGTGACTAGAAAAGTCTTTTGTGTAGAGTCTCCAGTTTACCTCTAGGGATTTTTGGTTAATAAAGCATACACTGCTGACTAAATATCAACTGACAATCGCTAGTCAAAATCTTACAACTGGCAATTACTGATGCTCCAAGTAGTTCATTTTGTATCAACAATTTGCCCCCTTATTTGCTAAGCGTACATCCTACCTTCACACCAACTGCAACATCAGTGACAATGCTGTAAAAAAAGAAAAAAACAAAAACACAAGTCAACCAATTTATTCTCATAAAACCAACTTTTCAATGTATTGCAATACCAAAATAATGAGGAACTGAAATAGCCAACAAATTCTCCAATTAAGAAAATATGTTCAGAGAACACAGCAGGACTGAAAGTACAAATGAAACCTACAAAGCCACTGAGCTCCCCCAGCTTAGAGTCATCTCCAACAGAGTCCCAAGTTTCAAGTAAACACTACTCCAGAGCAGCACTGCCAGGAAATTTATTTAGGAAACTTGAGTTTCTAGACTACATGAGATCATAGGGTGAAAATAAGAGAATTTAAAAGTAAGTACATAACTTGATGGTTGGACTTGATGATCTTAAGAGGTCTTTTCCAACCTATGATTCTACAAACTTTTCTGACACAACCCTATTAACTAAACAGCTAGTTCAGCAACACAGCCTACTCTACAGATTCCTTACAGCAAAAAGCAATGGACACATTTTTTGAAATTAGCTTGAAAAAAAAGAACGCATTGGCAGGGACACCTATCTAAAATTTAATTAATCAGGTACACCTTTATGAAACCCAGCAACAGGCATGTCAAGGTCCATCTTTTTCTTAAAGTCTGTGACATAACTCACAGTGTGTAACACAATCCCAAAAGAAACTTAAGTCTACAAACAAAAGAAAAAAAAGAAAGCAAAGCATGAATATGTGAAAGCATTCCATAATGTAATACTCATTAATGGCAAGACTTCTCAGGATTTGTAAGTCCCAACATTATAATCACAACTAACCATAAAAGGTCTTTAAAACTTTCACAGTTGAAGGGTTATATGCTTAAAGCATACCAAAGAGATTGTTCTCTGTTCGAAGCACAGTAAACAACTTCATAGGAAATTTGGAAGCTGGAACATGTTGTATGTACACTGATGAAGGCTACAACCACCAGCCTCATTTTCCAGGTCCAACAAGAAGAAGGCCTTGTGCACAGCCACTGACCGCCCCAGCTCCCGGCCAGGGCCGAGGGCCCCGCCGTCCCGTACGGCTAACTCCTTCCCAACCTTCCCTTCTCTGGCTTTCAGGGCCAGTCTCCAGCGAGCACAAGGGCATCTCTCTACCTGGGCAGGGGAGCAAGCCAGAGGGCTTCCTAGGCAGTTTCTGAAAACAAAAGAGCTCGACATCTGGCCCCGGCTGGTATTGCTCCTCCCCTCCAGCCAGCTCCAAAACAAACCCGAGCCCTACACAGCGCCGGTCCTCACCCCACGGCTGGGGGGGAGAGAGAAGGCAACAGCAGGAAGGAGACGAGGACAAGGGGCTCTGGAGGGAATGGGTGGGGGTAGATCGCGCTCCCTCTTTACAGCGAGAGCCGGCGTCTCAGGCACTACGCTAAACAGGAGGCGGCCCAAAGCCCCCGGCAATTTAAACGGAAGACCCTACCGAAGGGCCCGCGTCACGGACAGGCTGAGCCTCCTCTTCCCCACACCCACTGTACCACCCTCAGGCTCCAGCT